TTGTCTTTAGGTGAGGTAACATATCTGAACCATACAAGAGAGGTGAATTAGCAGATTTGCCCTTATTATTTATACTGTTAAAGATTTTCTAGAAGTCACAAGAGCCTAGTTTTTGAAATGAAATAAGAGATTTCCTGACCTGAGAAAAGTGGGCTTTGGTGTTAGACAAACCTAATTTACAATGCTTTCTTGCAATATTGACACCTGTTTTACGGAGAATTGTTTTGCTGATAGATTTGGAAGTAATGGTTTTGATTGAAAATTGCAGCAGCAAAAAGCAATTAAAATCATGGAGAAGAGTGGGTTTGACTTGGAATTGCCAAGAGAGAATAAAAGATTCCATGCCAGCCTGAATCCAAGAGGTTATGTAAGAAGCACATTTGTCAGCATGAAGATGAAAGATTTCAACCCAAGGGCCATTACAAAGAAAATCACAGAAAAACTCCCAGTCAGCTTTAGGTATTTGTAAGAAATACAATGATAACGGGATTTTGATGATGAATAAGAATAAGATCATAGTTTTAGAGAGATCAAATCGTGATCAGAAGTACCTAAGAGTTAACGTTGAGAAACAGAGCATTAATTAAAATTAGAAACAAGACAACAAGTCAAGTAGAGAAGGTAAATGATTCGGATTGTCAGAAAGCAAGATGGAAAGTTGACTATTTGAGTTAGAGATTGAGAAAGACAAAAGTTGTGGACTTTAACCCCTGCAGAGTCACTGACACTAGAGCCAAGCCATTCAGTGTAATGAGCATTAAAGTCCTTAACTACAATGATGTTGGCTGAAGGATAAAAAGAGAGGGCATGATCAATTAGATGCAGTTTTGAGATAAAGGAGAGAAATATAGAACAAAGAGAAAGGCAATAGAGTCAGGGCCTATTCTAAGAAAAAAATTTGGGTGGCAGTACCCCCTCATTTTGGCAGACGTTAGCGGAAAATTGGCGTTATTTTTGCGAAAAAAACAATATTTGCCGTAAAAAAACGTTAAAAAAAAGTGAATGGTGAATTGTGTGAATTTTTGGGTGAATTTTTATGAATGTAAATGCCCAGGCCAAGCATGTGACTATTGGATTCTTTACGAATTAAAGGAAGATAACCATCAGCACTAAGATCACAAGATGAGACAGCTAAACTCAAATCAGTCTCACAAAGAGCTAGTAGGTCTGTTGAACTTTGCAAGAGATAAAACTTAACAGAAGAAAAGTTACTTCGAAGACCATGAATATTAGTAAATAATAGGTTTTGGTGAATTTGGTGATGACAATGGTTTTTTGTGTTTTATAGTTTTTGGTATTTTAGTCATTTTTAAGTTTATTAAAGAACTTGACTCAAAGTTCAGATAGTGCTCAGTACACTTTTTAATAATCCAAGTAATTGCCTCGTTACCATTATAAACTCTGAGCCATAACAACTGGCTCTAAATTTAGCCTCAATAATGCACACCAAAAGTAAGAACAAAGACACCATCCATGCGCAACATGGCACTGTTAGTACTCTAATTTTTCCAGGTGTTGATGGAATCAGCCTCTCTGAAAGCTACCACAGAGTTCAAGAAACCTGATTACCAGCCAGCCTCAGAACCATAAAACTGAGTTTTTTACCCTCACTAGGAGATAATAGAATGAGTTGCCTAGTCATAAAAGACTTAAGCAAAACCAATGCATAGAAGATCCAGCATTCATCATCTTAAACAATTTATTATAAATAAATCTACGCTAGCCTATTAGGTAAAGAAGGGGTGCGAGGCTGGTTAACAGACAGAATCTATTTACCCCAGATTGAATCCCAGATACCCCAGATTGAATACATATACCCCAGATACCCAGTCAGAATGAATACCCCAGATAGAATATATAACAGATAAAATCTCTTTGCCTTTGCCTGGGAGGCCTTCTATAAGGCAGTAGCCGGATGGTTTGACATCTGCCCAAGATGAGTAGTTTTATTGAGACAGCACCTCTAGCCTATACTCAACCAAGAACCCCAAGGCAGGGTGTTTTAAGGCAGAGTTGGCTTTTCCTAGACTTTGCCTAAAAAAGCGTATCCTACAAGGCAGCCGGACATAAAACATGTTGTACTTGGTTACATGTTACCAGTAGCAGGATAACCTGACCTGGATAACATTAACAACATAATTTGCACAGTTTAGTTATTATTTTAAAATAGTAAACTGAGAAAGGTAAATTATGATTTTCAATAAAAGTATAAAATCTAGTTACTCCAGGATGGCAGAGTGATTGATGAATTAAGTTGTCAGTGTTTATTTCTGAGCAATGTGTCAACTAGAATATTTAATTTCCGTTCTCCGAATATAATTTCATAATCGTAACATGATAGTTCAATATTCGATCCATAAATTTTATAATTTTTTATTTTTTATTTGTATTGCTTTTTAAAGATATAGATACAGGTTGCTGATCAGTAATAATCTAAAATGCCATCCAGTAAGTTAGTGTCTTCAAAGTCTGACTGCTTCTATTGCTTCTTTCTCAATAGAAAGGTGTTTGAGCTCAGATTTTCAGAATTTTATTTAAAAGAAGGCCACAGTACAACCATTCTGACCATTCTTGACACTGCAGCTATAGCAATGTCAGATGCATCAGTTTCTACTTTGATGAAGCATTTTTATCCACATAATCTGTCACATCATTTACAATGTTTTGTTTGAATTGATTGAAATCATTTATATACTGATAATCTCATAGATACTTGTTGTTTTTGGTTATTTTGTCAAAAAAGTTATTTTGTTAGAAAAGTTATTTTGTCAGAAAAGTTATTTTGTCAGTTATTTTGTCAGAAAAGTTAGGAATTTATTTAGAATAGTATGAGAATAACTTGACGATGCGCTTCATAGACTTGGCATCATGAGATAAAGGCATCTCTTTCATTGGTTGAAGGCAACAGGGATTGTTTTGAGTTTTCCTTCCTCTGTAATGTAATTATATAACATTTGTTGATTTAGCCAAAGCTGAATCAGAGGCTGCAAATTTAATTAGTTCAATGTTCAAGGTAGTCTAGTCTAGTAAGTAAAGGATTGTATGAGTTCAAAGGTTGATCAACAAGATTTATCTCTGCTGTTATAAGTTTAGAAGACTTACATAGCTTGACAAAGTGCTTAATTTTCTCACATTTATAACAAATGGACTCCCTAGTAGTACAGACAACTTTGAGATGTATTTGATTCCCACAGCTTCAGCAAATTGAAACAGAACTAGAGTTTTTTGCTTTGTTATTATAGCAATTGTAGAATCTAATATATTATATTAGTGATAATTTGCTGCAGTTTTCTGTCCGCACAGAAAATTACAGTAAACGGTTCCGACTTTTAAAAACATTTTATCCAAACATATTGTACTGTTTTCTAGTAGTCTCTATCTGATGTCTTGCAAATTTAAAAAAGCTATATCATCTTTAATACTCTTATCACAATATTCAGTTGCTGACACCTGTTCAAAGTTATAGTCTTTTGCTAAAACTTTAAAAGCTTGTAGATACTCATCAAAACTGTTTCCTGGCTGTTGTTTATGTGTTACTATAAGGTATCATGCATAAAGTTCATTTAATGGTTTGATGTAAACCAATTGTAAAACTTGTATAGCTGATTTATAATTTTGACATTCACTTATTATCTCATAAACATTTTATCTTGATGAACTACCTCATGTCTTGATGTAGTTCATCAAGACAAAATGTTCTGAACCATTGTTTGAGTAATTTTGTAGCAGAAGATGAGTAAGGCAATATATCAAAGCGAAAAGTATTATGGCACTATCCATGATAAGATTAGAAAATTAAAACATTTGTATTAAGAATGAAAGCAATTTTTATATTATGTTTATATAATATAAAATATTGCTATATAAAAATATTTTAAATTTTTATATAGCAATTCTTATATTTTTAAAAAAAAAATTAGATACTGTTACGCAAAAATAAAAAAACAATTGCATTTTGTAAACAAAAAAAGTCAATCTAAAACTCTAACTTTGACTTTTTTTATACAATGTAGTTTGCACAAGAATTATCAATTTTTCTAATCAATATCTGAAAAATGAGATAAAACAAGAAAGCGGTTTATATTTATGAAAAAATTATACTTTTGAGCCATAATTTACTCTTGTAAACCACTTTAGAAGAGCAATTAACCGCCAAAGGGTACAATGATTTATTATCTACAGGATAGAAATAAACAATATACGTATGCCTAATAGAAACTCTTTAAAGCCGGCACGAAAGGGATGTGACCCCCTCCTCTCACAGTCCATCCCTGAAGACCCATCAATAAATTTTTCGTTCATTTAGTCAGCAAATTTGACCCTTTTATCCAGACATTGTACTGTTTTCTAGTAGTCGCTGTCTGATGTCTTGCAAATTTAAAAAAGTAGGTAAATGTAGACTCCTTGGACAAGTTAGTTGGCAAATTTAGACAGTCAGTCTGCAAATTTTTTAAAAAGTCGGCAAAAATTGTAATGGCATCCCCTTTCCCTCCACCCCACCTTCCACTGTGACTCCTACTCGCTCTAGCCCTGGTAATTACCACAACCAACAAAAAATTGTTTTGATATATAAGATAATTTGGTATAAATTTATAATTTATTTTTAATTCACTATTCATAATTGCTGTTGTTTATTTATAAATGAAGATTGTTTTTAAGTATAAAATGAAAAAAAACTTGTGGCTTACTTATGGGACAGTTGTAAAACTAAATTAATTATCATAGATTGTCAAATAAAAGAGGGTTATATAAGCCAATGCATTTTTTTAGTTTATATATGATAAATTTATTTTTATTTTTTTTTTACTTAAAAGAACAACTAATTCTTCTTAGACACTTTTATTAAAAAGTAATTCATCTACCATTTATATAGATATATATATATATATTTTTTAAATTTGTTTTGTAATTTATAAAAATTAAATATGTATGATGAAGTTATTAAAAAAATGCAAATAAAATATACGATTTCTCACATAACATGATGGTTTTATTTTTAGGTTTTCAAAAAAATAATTCAGCTACATATTAAGTGATTATGTTGGCAGAACAAGTTATAAAGAAAATTACGTTTACATTTATCGGTATGAAAAGAAAATACAAATAAAAATTTACATAATTTTTTTTATTTTAAATTTTAAATAAATATTATAGTTATTTTTCAAAATTAAATATAAAGTTGAGTATTACTAACTAAATATATTGTATTATTAGCTAAAGATGGTGAGGTCATAAATAATTTAGGCCTAATATTTTGCTATTATCAATGTTAATAAGCCATCAATACTAATGTAATGTTGTTAAGCCCATAAATTTGTTTAAGTCTCTTTTGTGAAAGTCCAACCAAGCATAGTAAAAAGATCTTATAATTTTTTTGTATTAATTAAATTGAAAACATCAAGACCTTTAGTGAAAATGTTTCAAAAGTTTGGCTTTATATAAATTGGTTTCTGCACATTATGATTGCATACAGGTAACCAACAAGAAATCTAAGATATTAAAAATGTTTAATAAGAATTCAAAAGGATATCAAGAAGAGTAGCAAGACTTGTTTTTAAGTTGAAAAATAATCTCTATGTAAGGTAGGAGAAGAGGGGGGGGGGCATAATAAGCAATGCTTAATGTGCCAATAGCACAGCGCTTTTTAGCACTGTGCTATTGCATTAAGCGCTTATTTATTATTACTATATCTATTTAAGTGGCAATATGCTTACATATTAGCTAGTGTAATCACTATAAATAAAAATAGGTCAAAAAAACCTTAAGGCACTTAATATAAAATATTTACCCAATTAGAAACAGAAAATCATATCTTTACCATTTGTCTATGACTAATTATATAAAATAGCAGTAGTTTAGGAGTAATTTTTAGGGAATCCATAGACCTAACTTAGAAATAAGTAAGTCACAGGGACTTTATTGAATTTGTTTTTGAAAGATTTATTATTATCAACCCAACAGTTCTTTCATTGTTAAAAAAAAGTGTACACTAAGTACTTTAGTCACAAGAATAACGTAAAATGTTGAACCTAGACCTTATAAATATCAAGCCGCGAGAGCTTGTAGAATACTTGTAAGATGGTAGTTTGAAATATTCATTGGATTTTTTTTAAAAACATGTTATTAGCTTTTTCTAAAAATGGCTAATAATGTATCATGTAATAATATACCATATATTAAAAATGTACCATCTAAGATTCTATCATTTATGCAATCTGTATTACTAAATACATACGATAAGACTTATGCAAAATCCATGTCTTTTCTTTTTTTACCATACCACCGAAAGAAAAATGTTATGTCTACTACTAGTCCTTTTTTAAATTGTTTTTAAAAAAGGACTGGTAACTAGGACTTTGTTTTTAACCTTTAAATATCATCAGGTGAAGAAAATATATCTATCTTGGAGATGAAAATGGAACTAGTACATTTTTTGAATATTTTGAATTTCTTTCTAATGTTTATAATACTAGGTTAATACTTCCAACAAATTGCAAGTAACCACTATTAAGTTGGGAGTTACTAGAAAGCAAAAAAATAAAGTTCAAGAGCAAGGATTGCTTTGATGATTAAAGGAAGACTTAAAAAGTTTTAGGTGTATGAGTCAAAAAAACATGAAGATCGGAGAAAGTTCCAAAGGATTGAAGTGCACAGAAAAAAACTAGACAAATAAAAGTTTTTAGAACATCCAGGACAAATAGTCAAAACAGTAAAAAGATGCGACTTTGCAGACAATAACTTGTCAATAAGTCAATCGTGAGTCAATAATCATGAATTAATAATAAGTAAAGTGTGAATAAGTTTTGATTAGTTAAGTTTTGATTAGAACTAGCTCCTTTGAATAGCAACCATAAAAGTATTTGTGGAAAAGAGAAAGAGATGCAACTTAATGACAATGGGAGAGAAGCAGAGAAAATAGGTGCAATTAGGTGCATTTTTCAACCTTATCAAAAAGCAAATGACCTTCATTAGAAGCAGTCCAATTGTGACAATAATTGGCCTGATTTTTTAAATTAACTCAGTTGTTAGCAGCTAATAACTGAGTTTTGTTGGAGTTAAAACTCACAAGTCACTGTAAGTCCCAATCTGTTACAGAAGTGAGATAAGATCTACTACTTGTTCTAAGCGATCACAGAGAGAAAACTTTTTGTCAAAACAGAAATATAAAGTTGAGTTGTTAGCAAATAGATCCACTTTAGATGTAAGGTTGTCAGGGAGATCATTAATGAAGATAAAGGTTAAAACAGAAACAAGGATAGAACCTTGATGTACCCCAGAAGTTACTAAAAAAGAAAAAGAGTGTTGGCTTTTGAGGATGACTTTAACCAAAGCGGTTAGAAAGAAATGATTTGATAGTCTTTAAAATTTTCCCAGATACACCAGATGAAATAAGTTTTTGGAGAAGAACAGTATTCCTCATCCTATGCATTGCTGTCAACATCTAATGCACATAATCTTTCAGTCTTCACAGTTATTTAGCTTTAGAACGAGAAGATTGAAAACCATATTGATTGTCTAATAGTAAGTTATTTGACTGTAAATTGAGATATTAGAAATATGTTAATCAAAGGCCTTGCTAATAATTGAGAGGAGACTGATCAGATGATAGTTAAAGGGATCAGAATGATCCCTCCAAAAACAATAAAATTTAAGGTACTTCCGCATTAATTTAATTGCTTTGACATTTCGACGACAATCAAATACAGCTTAAGAGACGAGGTAATTAAAATTGTAGTCGAAAGAGACTTTTTTTACATTAAAAGACTCTTTCGACTACACTATAAGGATATATATATATATATATATATATATATATATATATATATATATATATATATATATATATATATATATATATATATATATATATATATATATGTGTGTATATATATATAAATTTTATGCAATTTTTAAGGGATGATTTGTTTGAAGTATCAGATTATTTTCAATATGATGATGGATCTGAGGAATTGCGAGAAGATACATTTGAAAGGGAGCCTTTTATTGCTTTATTTAAATCAAATTTTACTTTAGGTTAGTTCATTAAGTGTTATTTCCTCATTCATTAGATGCTTTTTTCTCACCTGGAAATTTTTTTATAGCTTTTTTTTCAAAAAACAGGTTTTGTTATTATAATATTTTATTTTTTTGAGCTCATCTATTTTATTTTTTTGAGCTCATCTATTTTATTTTTTTGAGTTCTTTTTTATTTTTTTGAGTTCTTCTTTTTTAATTTGTTGAGTTCTTGTTTTTAAAACACTTTTGCTTTTACACAGTGAAACAGTTTGCAATTATTGGCGTTCATATTAGACCAGATGCAGTAAAGCAAGAGATTTCTGAGCTGGTTAATGTATACAAATCAACCATAAATAAATGGAAAGAAACGTCTGTTGTATTGATGGGAGATTTTAATGCTGGTTCAAAGTAATTATACTTTTACTATCCTTATTTTTTCTTTGTACGCATGTTATTAATTTATTATTACTTGTCATTACTACTACCAAACTTTTGTTATTGATCTTCAGTCAATAATATAAACTAGCTGCCGTGACCCATATGAATCGGGTTGTGATAAGTCTAATCCACACCCGATTATTTCTAAACTTGTTCCTAATTTAGTCTGTACACTTTAATTTATTTTAGTAAACGGCAAAAAATCAATCAATTTAAAGTTCTGGTAGTTATAAAAAATACCAACTTTTTTGCGAACCATAAATCTATTGCTTGTTAAATTATAATTAATTTAAAAGAAAACAGTCTAATTTAAATAAAATATATCGAAGATCATTATATTTAATTTAAAATATTGATGAGCAAATGTTTTAAATATCATGATTTTTGTGCTCATTAAAATGTCTTAGTTTGCTAAAAAGTACGCAGTTTGTGTTTTACTGACTACCTAAAGTTCTTGCCTTCTGGTTGATTTTTAATTTACTATACTTTAGAACTATTTAGTATTTTATTTACATTATTACTTATTTACTTTTATATTTTCTACATAATAAAAGTACCTTTAGCATATAAGACAGTTGCATAACATTTCTTCAGGTGTTTTTGGAAACTTAGGTTGTGATAATAATATTTTAATTCTCCCATAAGGATTTATTTAAAAATTTGGACATAGAAAAATGGGCCCAAGAGACCTAGTTATTTCAAATAAGTTAGCTTTATCTGTTTGATATTTTTTATAAAAAACTGTTTTGTAAAAAAACTCTTAACAAATTCATACAATTAAGCAATATACATACAATTAAAAAATATATAAATTTATTTGAGAAACAAACAAAAAAAATTTCTGCTATGTAGGAATTTTCAATATCAGTCATAGGAGAAGAAATACGACCTAAAAATGGAACAAAGTTATTATTGAATACCCTTAATACACATTAATTTGTTATGTTCTCTATTTATTTATTTGAAAACTTAAAAATGTGACTAAACAGATAACAAATAAGAAACTTATATTGTGAGGTTGTTTATCTTTTGTGAAAGTTTCAAGATTTATTGTTGCAAGTTTGGATTAACAATTCTTTTTAAAAAAGCAAGGGTAAAAATAAATGATCACAATAAAATATACCTTTGTTTTTATTTGAAAACTGAATCTTTAGCTTTTAGTGAATGATTATATGTAGTCAGTTTCAGTAATAAAACTAACAATAATTATTTTAAATTAAAGACCCTGACATGAAAGTAAACCAAATCATCTAATCTATCAACACAAAATGACACAACAGTAATATCACAAAATTAACAAATAACATAACATATTACACTAAACTCTATATTACTCAAACCTTCAAGGGGACCAAGAAATTAGCTTGTTAGAGATTGATAGAATTATTGGCAGTATAATCCATAAATGAAGGCTCAAATGAAATTTTTAAAATAAGTTTAAGTTAAGGGTTATTGAATTATCCAGAGTTTATTGTTCATATTTTAACTACTAACAGCATACACATAGAAACACTAACAAAATATAAACCCATAAAATATAAACCCTTATATAACACATAATAAAAACACAAATTACCACATCATATGACACATAAAAATACTTTTCAAAAACTATAAATTAAGAACATTTACAAATATAACATTTGCAAAATTTTCATTTAATGTTATACCTTGTTTATGCATGTGTATATGAAAATGTTATGCAGTTGTTATGCAAATGACTTGTTATGCATGTGTATTGCAAATAACTTGGTTTTAGAACATGCTACATAGAATTGGTTGTATGAAATTAGTCAACTGTGCCATCATCATTTTTCTCCTCTACTTCTGCCATGTTTTTAAATGCAGAAGCAAATGGGTTTTCTTGATTATTTAAAGTTTGTAAGAGTTGCATTAACTCATTTATACAACCATCATACCAGTTTATTTCAGGTTACCTAGGCTCATCTCTTTCATTTCAACGACAATTTACCTCTGCTAGCCTAAGCTTATCTCTTTAATTTTGGCGACAGTTAAATTAATTTTGCCTAGCTAGGTTTCTTTAATTTTAAGCCTTATAATTATACTTCTTTAATTATCAGACATAACTAAGCATCAAAGGATTGTGTAAAAATAATGCTTAATATAATAAAAGTTGCACTTTCATTTCAAGATTGAACTTTTAGTTTTCTTTCTTAACTTATCTTAAATAAAGTGTAAGGAAATAAAACAGAGTATAATATAATAGTCTAATTATATTCTACCTCTACTATTATTCATATTTTAATTTGGTGTTTTAAAATACAATAGCAATGTGTAAAGATAACGTTTCTATCAAGAAAATAAAGTAAAGTTATAAATAAATTGATATAATCTTTTCAACCGATTAATGTTATATATTTAATGTAGTTATTAATAATTATTGACGAAATAATAATAATCAAAAAAACAATAAAAAGTAATTAAAAAAGAACAGAGTATATATCTTTTAAACAAATTTACTCAAAAAGTAACAGTAGGGTAGAGTCGGGCTAGTTGAGCAACTTTTACTAAATCAAACAGATCTCATAAACGGTGCGTCAGATTTACATAGTTTTTTTTAATATTTGAAAGATAATTTAACCTGCTAAAAATTTGTCAAGAAAAAAGTATAGTTTTTGATTTTTTTAAGTAGATATTGCCTTAAGTTTGATGAGCTGCTCAACCTGCCCCAGCGGTATAAGTTGAGCAATAATGTGCGGTAAGTTGAAAAATCAAAAAATAAATGAATATGTATGCTACAAACTTGATTGAATCAGCAATAAATTTTTCACTAACAGTAACTGTTATATAGTTTATAAGCTTTTTGTTTTATACACTTTAATGATGTTAGTAAAAAAAAGAAAAAAACTAAATAGTAAAAAAGTGTCATAAAATATAAAAACATGATTTTATACAACTACCTTGAACTTTGAAGCCCAATTTTAAATTTACTAGTTTGAAAAAAATATGTAAATAGCGTACCACTCTATTATTTCTCATCAAAGTTGTTTATTTGTGTTTGATTGTTCAGTTTTATTTATTTTTCTCCAAGCTGCTCAACTTACCCTACTAGAAATGTGACGCATTAGTTAGATTTTAAAAAGAACAGTAAGATCTAAGAAAAAATAGTTAATTTTAATCAAAAGTCCAATAAATTGGTAAATTATCAACACTTAAGTGATAGCAGATAAAAAGGTTTATAAGCATACAAGTGAAAAATAGCAAAAAATTTTGTTTTTACTTTTTTGGTCAAAAATAGAAAAAGTGCCTATGTACCTTACTCAATAGCTTTTCAGCAATCTTTTGTTGCGCATTGTGTTAACATTCTAATTTCCTAACTTTCATCCATTAGATGTTTTGTCATGTGATGCATAGTTTTTGAGATATTTAAACTGCCCAACTTGCTCTTATGCTCAACTAGCCCTTCTCTACCCTATAAAAAATATTTGAAGAAGTATAAATCTGTTCAATAAAGTTATAAATATTTAAAAAATTATAGATATTAAAAAACTATATTTTTTTTCAACATTTCTTATAAACACATTCTTTCAGCAGTATTTTTTTCAACACTTTTAATGACTACACTAACTACAAACAGATTTAATTTATGTGTTTCATCATGACAGTACACCACTTAACTGGCATGAGTAAACAAAAAATAGATAAAAGTTATAATTAGAGATGTCATACTTCCTAAAATAGCCATTCACTATGTACACTGCCACTATTTTATAATAAGAAAATTTTAGTTAGTTCTGTTAGGATAGTGTTTTACGCTTGTTGACCAACATTTGTAAGGATTTGTTGTCCAATTTAAGCGAATGGTTCCATGTAAAAACTAATATCATTTATATGCGGTAGTGGTGTAGTGGTAAACCGCTTGTTTCATAAGCGAGAGGTTCCGAATTTGATTCCCACCACATCCCTGGTAGTACCGCGCTTAACTCGTTTCTCTGCGCATCGGCCTTGTTCAGGTTCGTGTTTTGGAGTTATAGAGTTGAGAGAGGGTTATATAACCACAAATAAGTAGCCTCCTTGTCTGTAGTGGCCATCTCGGCTTTAAGGAGGTGAGTGAGAGAAAAAAAAAAAAAAAAAAATTGGAATTATTCTTTTTCATATCTTCATATTTGCCAATTTTTTTATTAAGATTAGTTCAATTGTTTTCATTTACATTTCTTTTTCTTACGATGTAGAGCTGAATCATCAATAGTGCTACTAGTCACTGGTGGCAGTTTATTGGTATCAAGCAGCTTTTCAATGAAAAGGTTTTATTGCATTGTTTTATCGCAACCGTGTAATTCTCGTGTAATTAATAATAACTAAAGTTAAACCAAGTTTTAAGTTCAGGTTATAGTGATTATCTATCTTGCGAATCAACTTCTGAAATGCAAATGGTTATTTTTGTAATCTTTTTGATTGTTTTGAAGAGTATGATACTGTAGTTAAACCAAATTGATGTAACAGTCAACAAGTAATGTGTGCTGTTACACAACTAAATCATTAATTAAACAAAAACAGCGACAGTATAGTTAACATATTGTAGGTATTCTGGCAAAAAATGTCAACTCAAAAATCCTTGTTAAGGGAAATCAATCATTTAAGTTTTCTTCCAATTTGAAACTTTTATAATCTTAATAAATTGCATTTGGTGTTGACATTTAAATGCACCATAATGTTAAGTGTTTATTTTTAGCTTCTTTTTTTTTTTTTTTTTTCAATTTAAAAGCTTTTAGCCTAAAAAGAACACCTGTTTTAGTTGTTTTAAAGTTGTATTTAGTTGTTTTAGAAAATTTATTTTTATAATCAGAAAAAAAATGTTTTTTTCTGTGTACTTTGCCAGTTTGTAAAGCGTTGTAAATTTTACAATACTGCATCATTAATTCAAAACTGCCAATTTTTGACTTAATGTTATTTGCTAGTATACTCATAATATGCATTTCAATGAACCAGGTTGGAACCTTCAAAATATGAAAGTGTCAGCTAATATTTGCAGCTGAATATTTGGTATTTGGTAAAACCACTATTCATGACATCTCCTTATAATAGCACAGGCTTTTGTTTTTAAATGAACAATCAAAAATCAAAGATTGGAAAGCTAAACTGAATAAAAAGATTTTTAGGATTTTCACTCAACTCAACTAAATTGACTTATTTGATCTTACCATAAAACATACAAATAAGGTCTGCAATTTTTTGCCGACCTCTACACTCTTTAAGGTCAGCAGTTTGGTCAGCATTGCCAAACTTAATTCCGAAGATTGTATATGTATTCGTTCTTATTTTATTATTTGATACTTTGAAATTCAAAATTTTCAATAAGGTTTAAACCGTAGACAATTTTATGTTTTAAATACTACTTGTAATTTTCTAACATTACTAAAAGACATAGAAAATCATTTGTTTTCTAACTTTGTCTTTCATAAAAAACTACATAATTTTGAATGGGCATTTTGCGATTGGTGTGAATTGAATCACTTTGTGATTGGTTGGTGTGGAGCCAAATAAAATAAGTATGGATTTTGTTGGTTTTTTTCAAAGCAGCTTATGTTTATTCAATTAAGTTTGGTCACTCAAGATTTTTTAAACCCACTGAAATGTTTAAAGTTGAAACTTATTTCTTTTTTATGAAAAGTTTGGCAACTGCCATAAGTCTATACATGGTGGTGGTCTAAAAGCTCTGTCAAACAATGTATGCTAATGGTTTTTTTGTTTTTGTTTTATTTAATAGAAGATAAAATTTGTTGTAGTTCTTTGAGGGACATTTTAACTCTTTGAAATTATTACAAAACATTCGAGCACACAAAACATTTTTAAACATTGTTCGAAAATTTACCCCCAGATCTAATAAATTAAATATATTGAAGTTATTATGAACTTGATTTAAAAAAAAAATGTGTTTGTTGTTGTTAATAAATACAAATAACTTAAACATCTTTTTTTTAGGGTTTTTCTTTAAAAAAACTGTTTAATAATTTTTTATATAAATATATCTAAACAGAATAATTAAACTCATTGTTAATCATACTTTGACTCAAACTTCAAGCCAAAAATCTTCAAACCTGAAAAAAAATTTACCATTTTGATTTATAGTTGTGTGATTGAAAGTTGGCCTTTAGTAAAGATTGCTATGATATGTAAACAAATTAAATTGTGTTTTTTAACCTCTGGGACCAACCATTTTTAATTATTCTCAAAATCATTTTCAAATTCATTTTCAATATTATTGATACACAGGAAAACTAAATGTTTTCCCTTGTTTAAATGTTTTGATATTGTAAATACAATATCAAAACATTATAAAAACAATAGAAAAAATTTAGTTTATATATATTAATAGAATAGAATAGAATAGTTAATTAATAGAATAGTTTCTATATATTAATAGAAAAAATTTAGTTTTCCTTTGCATCAATTATATTGAAAAGGAATTAGAAAATGGAATTAAAAATGATCAGAAAATAATATAATATTACATTATATTGTATTGCATAATCATTATTCCATATGGAATAATTATTATTCAATACCATATAATATAATATTCTATTATGTTGTATTGCATAATAGTAATAATAATATTGAAAATTTATTTTTTTTATTTTTTATAGAGAATAAGTAAAATGCAGAAAATATACAAGATGAAGAAGTATTTTCATTGAGCTGAAACATTTTATTAGTCTATTTTTTTATTTTATTTCAGGTCAATTTTAATTAAAAATTAAAATAACAGTTCAAATAAAATAATAGGAAATAACAGTATATATAAAAATAATAGTAGAAACAAATAAAAACATTAGAAACAAATAAAAATAATAGGAAAAAACTTTTTAAATTAATTTGATAGTTTAATAAACACATTAAACATTTATATCAGAAGTAAGTGATTATATCAGAAATAAGTGGTATTTTAGTTTTTTTGTATTTTAGTTTAGCATAAGATTAATATAATTTTCCGGTCTTATTTTTTGAATTGCTTTTTAATATAATCTTATTGTATTGCCATCTGTGATGCTTTGTATCAACTGAAACCAGCAGTAAAGTATATATGTGTACGCTGGGTTTTTAGATGTTTCAGTTTTGACACTTACAGGCATTGTACTAACTCCAAACTTTTGTATGTTCATGCTTATGTCAAATGAGAGTGTTTTGCAAAGAATTGGAATGATTGTAACTTGGGAACAAAAATACCCTGATTTTTTGGTCTACCCAGTCCTTAACTTAGGAGCAACGAGTTTATAAAATGTTTTCTTCCCTATTCTTATCCAAATTTATATTCATCTACATATTTCAAATTTCATGCAGTAATCTCTTAATGTTCAGTTTTTATGACCATGGAGGGTTAAAATATTATATGGTCATAATTCTCGAAAAATAAGAGATTGTTGCATAAAATTTCAAATTTGTTGATGACTATAAATTTAGATAAAAATAGTAGATAAAATATTTTATAAAATTGTTACTCTCACATTAAAAGCTAGGTTGGCCCAAAAATTAGGTTTTTTTCGTTCCCAAGGTCCAATCACTGCAATTCTTTGCAAAACACTCTTATTTGACATAAGCATGAATATGCAAAAGTTTGGAGTTGGCACAATGTCTGTAAGTGTCACAATGTCTAGTGTACTGTATCTAAAAATAAACTTTTTTTTTTTAAAGATACATATCAAAAAAAAAGCTTGATCAAACAGATTTAAGGACTGATAAAAAATTCAATTGGTTACTTGAAAACCAAGACACTACAGTTTCAATGAGTCATGCTACACTTGACAGGTTATTTTCTTAATATCTATAATATTTTTCTTAGTGATAGCATTAAATCAATGCGGTAGTGGTGTAGTGGTAGAGCGCTCGCTTCATAAACGAGTGGTTCCGAGTTCGATCCCCACCACGTCCCTGGTAGTACCGCGCTCAACTCGTTTCTCTGCGCAGCGGCCTTGTTCGTCAAGGTTCGTGTTTCGAGTTATAGAGTTGAGAGAGGGTTATAGCCACAAAATAAGTAGCCTCCTCGTCTGTAGTGGCCTTCTCGGCCTTAAGGAGGTGAAGTAAAATTAAAAAAAAAAAAATTGAAAAGTAGTTATATTATTTCTTTTAATTTTTACAGGGTTATTATTACGGGAAACGCAATCAATCAGGCTTTAATTAAGGATAGTGCTGGAGCCTTCAATTATCAGGAAGAATACAAGCTTAGCTTAGAAGAGGTAGTTTATTTTTTTTAATGATCATTGAAAATAACTATTTGTATCAACTTTAATCTCTATTGAAAATCTAAATGGTGTTTGATTTGAATTCATTTTTTTTAGGCTTTAAAAATCAGTGATCATTATCCCGTCAAATTTGAAATTAGTATGTTTTATTTTTATTATTTTTGTTATTATTATTAGTTTTATTTTTATTTTAAAAAAGTTTACTCTATTTGTTATTTTATGGTTTAATAAAATTATATTTAAAGTTAATCTTAATTATATATGTATATTAAACTAATAATAACTTTAAATATAACTTTATAAATATGTTGTGAGTATATTAAATATATCCACATTAGTCAGTTACTGGGGTTGGCATTTGGCTGAGGCCAAAAAAAAGTCCTAAAGCTGCCATCTCTCTACATGCTGTTACCCGAATTATTAGCGTCCTCATTGCTCAAAACCACCTTAATTTCTAATAAACCTTGTTTGGTTCACTCGCTATTCCTAATCTCTGTTTAATATCATGGCTTCTTTTTTTGTCTTTTTAAAATCAAACTACACATTCATCTGGTCATCATCTGGGGCCCGGATTGTAAATTATTTTAACCCTTTTCCTGTGGAGTTTTTTTTTTTCTTAACTTTTGCTCATTGTAGAGTGCACACAAACCGACATCACATTTAGTACACTGAATAAGTACATCTTTGTGAGTTTTATGTGCAGAACAAACAGCGCAAACTCATTGAGTATTTACTTTTTTCTCTATGATGGGTACATAACTTGGAAAGTGTCTGGTGGTAATTTGCATAGGATCACCTTCAAAAGATGTCAGGCGACCAGTATGAACTTGTTGCTCTGGCACATGATATTCCTCAATCAGACGCTCAATAAGCTTCAAACAAAACTAAACATGATTGAGTCTGTTATTTCGGTATTTTCTATACAGTACATAAGTGTTCAAGGTAACCTTGTTCATCAGATGGCAGAATAACTTTTAATACAAAACTTTGTGTCTTTTTCTTTCAGCTGGATATGATGTCAACATTTGGTCTGATACATCAACAGCACCCATGTTGGGATTGTAATCACAGATGACCACAGGTTTTACTCAGTGCCACAATGACTAACAACATCTTGAACTGCAGTGGTATAATAAGTTGACATTATTGTAACATCTTTTTTGTCGTGTCATTTCAAAGACAGCAATTTTCCGCAGAACCTTGAAGTTATTTCACCACACAGTATTTTTTTTTTCAAATCCACGGATAGATATTTTCGGTTCAAATGAACAGTCCAAACTGCAACAGTTTGGTTTGTATAAGTTCTCTGAACAGTGACAGAGATGTCTTGAAGTTATTCATGAACACTGTATAACCCTTCCCTAGAAGATTGTGCAGTTATGTCAAGACAATTCTGGAAGTCTTCAGTTTATTCTTAGATGCTTTCAAATGCATTGCAGGTCCAATATGAGTGAATTCCTTCCAGATATAACCACTACCTGATTCACAGAGCAGATTTAATTATGGTTTCAAGGTATGATTTCAAACCAAACTGAGCTCGTTTCAGTGGTATTATTTCATTGCTAATCTTTCCTTCCAGAAAAAGAACTAGTTTCTATTTCAACATTACTATCTAAATTTACAGTATTTTCAAAAGTCTATTTAAATCATTTAAAAAATCTTTTTTATTTATAACACAGCCTCCTTTTTAACATTGTTAATAAAGATTTTATTAGAAATTGTTCAACTTTTTTAATATTACTAATGTATATGATGTAGTAAACTAAATTTATATTATTTTGTTCATCAATTATTTTCAAAATTATACATTCATTAACTGACCGTTTGAGATAAGCGATGAGTAATAAACTTGCATGACTGACCGTTGGGGGCTGGATACAGTTAAATCTCCTTACATTTACGGACAGTTTAGGATATGCACGGCAAAATGTACTTTCATTGACTAACGGTTTGTGAGAAGACTGAATCGTCATTTTTAAATTTTAAAAAAGAGTTTTATCTTTTAAAAGCTATTTTTGTTTTTTATTTCAACGCTGATAGAAACCACTACTTATTGTTGTGCAATGTAATGTTATAAAAAAAAAAATTATAAATAATAACAAAATCTTCAGTTAGGGTTTACCCTAACCTGTTAGTTTGAACCTTGTCAAACTAAATTTTAGTCAACTAACCTTGCAGATAGAACTTTGGCAAATTGGTAGTTCGCTTATTTTACGCTAGATCGCAGTAAATTTTATTTTCTTTGTTTGTCATGATACAAATAGTCTATTAAAGTCATAATCTCAATTTTGGAAAAAATGTCAGTTTATATTAATTTTTTTACCCTGTCACTTGCAGCACTTAACGGGGTTTAAATCCGCCTCTGATTTTGGGTTTAAACTAAACAAGTTGAATTTAATATTAAAAAAATTTATTTTAGGGCCTTTAAACTAGGCTCTCAAATAAAAAGGAGTGTGTTAACTTACCCCGAGTTGGTGTAAGTTGATGCAAAAAATAAAAATGATTATTGAGTAAATATTAATAGAATAGTTTTTATTTTTTATTTTGCAACAAAATTTTTTCCAAAAAGTTATTACTTGGTAGTTGGCAGCAAATATATATGATCAAACATTCAAAACTCCATTTGTTTTCAGATATTTTAGATATTTTTTCCTTGGTGAAGTTGAATTTCGTTGAGAATCGAAAAAGTTAATGTCTAAATTTAGGTCTTTTATCCAATGTTGTTACCTCTTTTATCTAGTATTTTTCAAAGTTGCACAACTTTGAAAAACATAAGTTTGTAAACTAAACTAATGTTTAGTTTATATATATATAAAGTCCTAAAGAACCATGTTTTTTTAAAAGTCCATTCCATTACTTTAAAAATGTTAGTAAAGTGCATTTTGACTAAGATTCGCTTTTAGAAAATTTTGAAATCCAATTATTCTCATTAATTTTACATGATTCAAGATTTTTTCATGATTCATGGTTCTATTTTTTTATATTTATGTAATTATGTATTTTTTATTATAAATGTTTTTAAATAAAAAAAAATTAGTATCAACTTTTTAAATAAATAATATAATTAAATAAATATCTTGTTAACTTTACTGCGAAGAAATATTAAGAATTTTTTTTTTTTAACTTTTAAATGTGCGCAATCGTTAGATGTAAGTTGTTACTTTATTTAAAAATTTCCTAATAAAATGTTATAAAAACAGTAAAGATAAACGATTCAAAGTTATTTATTCTTAACAACCTTATTGTTATAGTTTATTACTTATTTTAGTCAAGTTTTAATTTTATTTCTTAACTTTTTCGGCCCGCTTTTAAAATGTATACAAATTTTCAAAACATATTAACAGCCCTGGTTAAGTTTTTACACAAAGATTGAGTTTATGATCACAGCAGGTTAGTCAAATGATTCCAAGGAGTTTATATGTGCACTGCATATTAAAGTAGTTTCAAACCCCTATTCCTTTGCGTCCGGGAACTTGTATTTCTAGGAAATAGGCAAAATGGGGTATATTGGAATTTGCGCAGCGGTGTGCACATACATCAACTGATTTTTAGAAACAACATGCAGCGGAGTGTGCAAACAACGTCTGAGGGTTTGGGGTAGGTAGGTTCTCTTTTAAATGAAGTCGTTTTTTTTTATTTTGGACCTTAAGTACAGCGTCGGAATAAGGGTTTGACAAAAGAGCTTACCGCAAATGTGTATGTACTTCCATTTTTTTTATTTTTATGGAACCATTCATATCATAATTGGTTGCCTGTTATTTTTGCTAAAATTTTCAAAACTATTATCTAAAAAATAGCTATTAGAAATAAAAGTTATTTTTAAAAAACGCTAGACGATATACGTCTAGCGTTTTTTAAAAAGAAACTTTTTAAAAAACGCTAGACGTATATCGTCCAATTTTCAAAAACGCTTTAGACGATATACAAATATTATTTTACAAACTATTTGTAAATTACAAATTTGTTATAAACTTACTTAAGTAGTATCCCGTTATCTCGGACCCTGGATAAGTCGGACAAATTTTCAATTCCCCTTAAATTCTCTATACATACCAAAAGCTTTTCTTAACTCGGACATTAGCTGAGTCAGACAAAATAAATAGTTCAAAGTCCGAGTTAACGGGATTCTACTGTATTAGTAAGTTTATAACAATTACTTTAAAGGAATTTTAAAACAGATTTTTACTTAGTTGATTTTTGTGTTCTGTCTTCTTTCAAAAATTTGGAATATTTTTATTTCTTGTCTTCAATGTTTAATCAAATGTTTATTTGAAAACAAAGATCAATAATACAGTTGAAAATTTTACGCCCTCACTAGTACTATGAATTCAAATTTGTTCATAAATCAAAGTTTAAATCAAAAAGAAAACAAGCATCACAAAAAAAAAAAGAAAAAGTAAAGAAAAATTTTGATTGGTTAAGTATATTATATAAGGGGAAAAATAAAATGAATAATAAATTTAAAATGGAAAGCTTAAAAGCTAGATTTTCTAATTTTAAATGGAAGGGGAGGTTGAGGGGGTCATATATATGTTCTTTTTGAAAGGACTATACATTTTCTAAAGATCAAAAATCATATCATCTAGTTTTTAAAATGATTTAGCGGGGTGTAATAAATGTTATTGGCGTTGAATAAGCAGTAAATACAAGTTGGTGAATCCATATGCAAATATTATCTTAAAATCCACTTTTCAATTAATCAATCAATTTTTAAAATATTTTTAAAATATTTTTAAATCTGTTAACAAAAATGTTTCCTCGTCAATTTTAAAATGTAATAATAGATTATTAGCCCTGAAAATTAAACGATAGATATCAATTGATATCAATCGACTGACGATTCATTAATACTTGATTTTAATTGATTAGATTTATTCAATTGTTTGAAGTGATCATATGATTATGAATTTAATCATGTGTCTGAAGACTTTCTGATATACCAGGTTTTGTAATGGCTCTTTTTAAATAGCAGTTGATTTACTAGTATTAGCTTTAATTGGTTAACTCTAAAAAAACCACTATATTAGCTTTTTTCCATCATTTACATAGTTAACTAAATCACTCCAGTTATTGAATGGGGTGTTAAGTTTAATATTGTGTTACGTGCGAATAACAGTTTTGCTTTATGTTATAATAGAAAAATAATTAAGAAATATAGAAAAATAATTAAAAATGTTAATATCTTAATTAAATATATTTTGATGTTTATTAATCATAATAGCTCTATTTTTTTATATTAAATGTTTTTTTAAAGGTTTTTTGGCAGCTTTTTTATTTAAAAAAAAAAGTTGTTATTTTTAAAAAATTAAAGCTCATTCCGATAAACAACTTTTTTTGATTACGTTTTACGATAAGTTTATAAGCTTTATTGTAGCATAATTATAAGCTCAATAATATTATTATTACATTTATAACTATATTTATAACCATTTTTAGGAGGAAATCAAGACTAAGAGAAATTCTAAGAACGTGTTGGAAGCCATTAATAAAAGTTTAGAAAAGATGTCGGTTTTAGAGTTTGTGTTTTTACTTGACGAGGTTGTCATACATTTGTGATGTTAACTGTCAAATGTTCAAGTTTTAATCTTAATATGTAAGGTATTGGAAGAAGAGAATTTTGTTGTTAAACTTGTTTGTTTTTTTACATTTATATTCATTAATGGTTTTATATTAGTTGCTTGTTTTATCATCGTATAAAGTTTTGCAAATTTGAAGATATTTTTTTATTTCTTTGTAATAAATTTTTTTTATAAATATTGGTTTTATGAATAAAAATTTTTAATAAAAATTGGTTTTATGATACTTGTCAAATTGTTTTTTAATAATTATTAAATTTAATTTTTTTTTATTGGCTTTTAAATTTTTACTTTAAAACTTTTGTTAGCCAAATTATTTTTATTAAATCAACAAGTTGATTATTTGATTTCTCGTCTTACTTTTGATTTTAACTATGGAGTAAATAAGAAATAAAACAAGCTTAAAACAATGTCTAGGTTGAATTACTACTACCAAATTAATGGACAGTGTAGTGTGAAACGGTTGTGTATATTGATATGTAACCATGCATAGTCACTTTTCGAACATAAATTAATATAATATATCAAACCCCAAAAAATAAAAAAATACATTTGCCGATGAAACACTGCATTTAATGTTTGTTGTCCATATTTTTATTTTATGTTGCGTAGTTACATTTAACGGTTGTGTATTTTACGGTTGTATATTTATAGAAGCTTTGTTGTTTAATAATTCATGGAAAATTATTCACAAGGCCCTTTTTTTCTTTAAAGAATATGAATCTTGTTTTTTTCCTTTTAGTAGCATTTTTTTTATTAACTAATTTTTTTCTCTCCACTAATGAACTTAATAAACAGTTAATTGAATGAACATGACCGTAAATTTCTCGCGTTATTTCCTCAATATCGTTTAGAATTTTACGAAACGTACGTAAAATAATCCCGACATTATTCGTTGTAGGTAAAATAATTCCGACCTTAATCTTAAACCTTAATACCTTTATGACGATTTCTTGTTGATCGTAAAATGTTTATAATTAATGTTCAATTTTTTTACAACTGTACATTCATCATCACGTTTACATTCTCGATTTGATCGTGTAAACACTCTCGATCTAAAGGTGCTCAGCAAGCCAAAAAAATATTCTATAACCAAGAATTTTTTTTCAGGAATAATACCTTAGGAATTTCTACCAAAACATTTTTTCAGGAATGAAACATTCGGAATGGCTAATTATAGAAATACTTTTTTTTTTTAAAAAAAAAAACATTTTAGTTCACACTTGTTCGTTTTTACAGTAAGAGCAGATTGAGAGCAGATAAAAATTAATACATTCATAAAATAAGCAAATACTACTAACTGTTTGAAAAACTGGGTATCTGAAAGAAGATAAGTAAGACCTTATCGTCAGAACCTTATACTGGTATAAACAAAATATTAGTTTATAAAGCAACTAGTTTATAAAGTAACAAAACATTAGTTTATAAAGTACCGTAAAACACCCCGTTTTACGGTACTTTATAAACTAATATTTTGTTGGGGGTTTGTTGAGGTTACTTTGAACGTTTTTGAGATATTTTTACTTGCTCTTTCTTCACTATTGACAATGTTTGAAATTTAACAAAATGAATATAGAGGCTAAGAATGACACTTTGATAATTCAAGTTCAAAATAATATTTAAATAAAAGGATTTTGTTTAATATTAATTTAAATAGTCAAAGTTACCCCACAAATGGGGTAACTTTGATAGCATTTTTGTAAAAGCAAAACCTATTCAAAAAACGCTTTGTTTTGTATTTAAAAATTAATAAAAGCAACATTCTAGTTTCACAGTCATTTATTATTGCTAAAATAATATAATACTATTTCATGACAAACACCCATTTAGTATTTTATTCTGTTTAAATGGATATTTTTTAAGTGGACTAGCATAAAAAAAGTCTCATTAACATCAGTTTTACTTACAGACTTTGCAAATGGAACATCTTTACATTTTACCAAAAAAGTCCTTAAAAGAGATATTTTTAACAAGGTCAAAAGTAATTTTTTTCCCCTTTGAGTCTGCTTTTTCGTTGACATCAACATAAAAAAATTGTTAAAGTACATTAATTACTGCTCGGCGAACTAAAGTTAAACTTCAACAAGATACTATTTACTTTTGTAAATTTAAGTACTTTTTCACTGTAAAAATTACATCGATTATAACTAATAGGTATGTTCCTACAATTCGACAAAAAACGATAACAAACCAGTTAAAAAAGTGAATAGAATAAAGCCGTCTTGACTTTGATTGTATTTTTGATTGCATATACATTAGGTGGTTCACTTCTTAGTAAATAATAAAGGCCTTGCAGTTGCAAGATAATAAAGTTCTTGTTGTGCATAAATGATACGCTTTATAAACATAACCAGAGACAATTTGACCAGAAGCACTAAACATGATTGACGTAACATAACATGTTGCATGTTTTAAAAACTTTGGATTTTCTATGTGTTTTCGGATTAAGTTTCTAAACTTTATTATAAAAAGTGGCAATTTGCACCCAATGAACATCTATTAATTTTTTTATCTAATAATGTTTATTGTAACCACAAATTTTATATATTTATATATTATATATATATATATATATATATATATATATATATATATATATATGTATATATATATACATATATATATATATATATATATATATATATATATATATATATATATATATATATATATATATATATATATATATATATATATATATATATATATATATATATATATATGCATATATATATATATATGCATATATATATATATATATATGTATATATATATATATATATATATATATATTTATATATATATTTATATATATATATATATATATATATATATATATATATATATATATATATACATATGCAAACACTCACACACAATGACTTACTGTTTATACGCGTGATATTTTAAATTTTAATCACAATAATATTATGTACAATACTTAATACATTATATATAATACATGTATGACAAAGGAAATTTTAAAATTGTTTTATGTTTTTGACTATTAATGTAGTAAAGTTACTTTGAACGTTATTCAAAGTAACTTTACGTATGCGAATGTATACAATAAAGTATGTTATGCTATAGCAATGGAACATAACTATAGTACAAAGTATTCTGACTAACTTTTTTGAGAAAAATATCCGAATTATTTAATTTATTTTTTGGGGAACAATAAAAACCAATAAACAAAGTAAAACTTTAAATAATCAAAATATAAACTATTTTTAACACTTTGATGTTTGATATTATAACAGCTTCATATAAATTCTTGCCATAATTACAATTTGAAAAAAAAAATAGATTTCTATTCAAAATTACCGCGCTATTTAAAGTAACCCCGGTTTACGGTACAACAAAATTAAATAATATATACATACACTTACCAGTTTGTTGTATAGTTTATAAAGTTTGATAAATATATCCATAATATAAATATTATTATAAAATTGAGATAATAATGACTTTTGATCTGCCTACTTCTTTGCCTTATTAAAAAGATGCAAAGAAGTAAGTAGATCAAAATTAAAGTCAAAACAATTTTATTCCAAATATTGGTGCACGATATTCAATGCAAAATTTGTTAAAATTTGTTTGACAAAAAGGCTCATAATGAAGGTTGTTATTTTTTAGAAAGTATTTATTGGCAAGGTAAATTAAAAATGGCAGGAAAAAGATTGTTCTTACATATATACGCAAAGCATAAAATATTTAAAATATTGAGTTAGTAAATATTAAGTATTCTCATTTTAGAAAAAAGTTGTTTAGAGTGAGAAAAACGATCAGCAAAATTAATTACAGGTGTTTCATGTTTCTGACGGCAATAGAGAGATAGCAACTTATTTTTTTCAGATATTGCCCGAGCAATATTTGCATAACTGAATTAATGTATAATGAAGTTGGGATCAACCTTTTTTAATTATATGTCGGAAACTTTAGTACCAGCATATTCAAATTGTTGCCACCGTGTGATGTTCTCATCAAGGAATACACCTAAAACTTTAGTGGTGCAACTCTTTTTATTTTAATTTGGTCAATAAAAATATCAGGAAGAGCTGGAGGTAAATAACGTTTTTTAGTTATCAAACAAAAAAAATCCAGTTAGTTTTTTTAATATTTTTAGGTAAGTTTATTGCATTTGAACCAGCTAGAAATATTTTTGAGCTCTTCATTTTTACTAATAAAGAGTTTGTTAATATTGTTATGAGATAAAAATAAATTAGTATCATCCACAAAAATATAATACTTAAAAGATTAGAAGCTAATCATTAATGTAGATTAAAAAAAGAAGTGGTTCCGAAAAGTATGATTGCGGAACACATAAAATTTCTAAAACATTTTTTTTTGATAAGGATCATTTTTTATGATAAAGATCGTTGAAAGAAACAAATTGTTTTCGTTTTTAAACAACTTTTAAACCATTTTAAAATTATGCCATTCCTCCCATAATATTTAAATAAAATAATCGAAACGCCATGATTTACTGTATCAAATCCTTTTGATAAATCTAAAAAAATACCTAATGTAAACTGTAAATTTGAAAGAATTAGAGGTTTCGCGTACGAATTGGATAATTGCATGCTCAGTAGAACTATTTCTTTTAAAACCAAACTGATTTTTATATAAAAAAATATTTCTCCTTGAAATAAGTATATAATCTATTGCAAATAATATTTTCTAAGATTTTTGAAAATATTGATAAAGTAGAGGTCGGTAGTTGCGTATATAGTACTGGCCCCTTTTTTGTAGATTGGGATTATCTTAGCTATTTTAAACTGATCATGAAAAACTGCTTGTTGTATAAAAACTTTAAAGAGAATATATTTTAATTTTTCAAAAGATTCTAAAACTATTTTTAACGGGGTTAACTGGGTTTGTGTGCTGATTCATTGGCTTTCTACCTTTTTTACCGGATTGTTTAACCGACTTGCTTGCTTTAAATATTTTTTTTTTCTCTTTGTTTTAGCACTTTCTGCTTTTCGAATAGCTGTGGCAATTTTTTTGTTGTCTAGCTAGTTTATCGTTTTTCTAGTTTTTGCTTCTTGTTAAGCTTCGTCAAAAGCTACAGCATCAGATGCCGTAATATTGTAATTGGCTAGCAGTTTAAATCTTTTCGTTCTAGTTAAAAAAGTTTCAATTATTCTCTTCCACTCGATTTTAACTGTTTTAAAATACCAACGTCTAATGGTTGCGAAAAATGACTTTTGTGAGTCGGCCAGCGCCATAGTAAGCGCCACGGAAAAAAGCACATCTAAACTTTATACAGTATTTGTGTTAATAAATTATAAGTATTTGTGTTAATAAGATACAAAAATGAAATACAAAAATTAAAAATTAATTAACTACACCTGAAAGTAAAATCGTGAAAAATTTGATGGCTCAGAAAGAAAAACAGATAAAATAAGATGTTAGATGTCATAAAAAAATTTTCGAGGATAAAATAAAAAACTTAAAATCCGAGGTTGCGGAATGTGTTTAAGAAAACAAGCAACTAAAAAGTATAATTGCAGAAATGGAAAAATCAAAAGAACTTAATTCTGATACAAATGCAACTATGTGGTCAAAAGTTGCATCAGGGGCTCTCAAATAAACAAATGACCAACTATTTCTTCTTTTTGAAACCACAAAAGAACGTATAGAGTAGGAACGTAGAGAAACAAACGTCATTATCTATGGATTAGAAGCTACGCAATGTTCTTCACAGACGGAAAAACTAGAAAATGACAAATTGC